TCACTCAGTGTTAATCATTAGATCATTCCCTTTTACAGTACAATGTTCGATTCTTAACGATAATTCGCTAGAATTATCTGTTATCTAGATTATTTTATTAGTCATTCCTTCACCCGTTCACTCATCCATTCAAAAGTCCCTTTTACGATCATTCACTTACTCAATCATTCCTTCTTATGATCATTCTCTAATTTCTTTCCCTGACCAGATCATTCACGCACTCTTCACTCACTCTTATGATGGTTTACTCAATCATTCATTTATCTAATGATTCACTCCATCATTATGTCCTATGACCATACACTCATTCAATCACATCCTCATGATCATTCACTTAATCAATTATTTTTATGAATTTGCCAAAATAGCAAAGCGAAAAAGAAGAGAAAAATTTCTCAATTATTGATCATTCACTAAATTATTTCCTCTTACGATTTAAAAAATTGAAAATTTCTTTCCAGATGAAAGTACAGCCGAAGAAGAGTAAGAGAGGTAAAAAGAACGAGATGCCACACATTTTGCCACCGCAAGTGATGCCAACGTGAATGACACCACACATTTATGACACCGTTTCGAGTAAAACAATAAAAAATGCTTGTTTTGTATTTTTTAATTCCAGAGAAAGTATTAAAATAGACTGATAGTTATAACGTCAATTATTGATCTGAATGTATTTGATAAGAAAAATAAAAATAATTCTTTTTACACGATTTTTTTTATTTATATGAACCTTCAAACCTATCGTTTTTATAAAGAACATTGCTCGAACTTCGCCCGCGTGAATTTAAAAAAATAATAAAAAAACAGCCTATGTCACTCACTGATAAAATAATTTTCTAAATAAGCCCAGTAGTTTTTGAGTTATTCCAATACATATAAAAATATAACTCTCTCCTCTTTATTGCCCCGCCATAATTTCTGAAATTCAAAGTCAATTGACAATTTTATATTAAAATCGCTTAAACATGTTTTTTTACCTTATCCAATAGACTTTGTTTACCTTTTTTTTTCCTTATCTATGTTCAATTTACGGTATTTAAAAAGAAAAATCGTGCATTTAAAGGTTAAAAAGGTATACATATCGATAATAACTAATGTAGTGAAATGTAAAGTTTTTTTTATTTAATTGAAATGTGCTTCCGGGTAATTTTGACACCTCTGTAACTTCGTTATTGATAAAGATAAAAAGAAATTTTAAACATCAATAGATATACCGGAATTCGTTATATAGTCAAAATACATTTTAATTATATCTAGTTGTTTACAAACGACAGCTAATTGAAATTTTCACTTTTTTACTTCTGTCTTTTGAGGCACTTCCACTTCCAGCGCTCTGTTAAAAAAATTGAAATTTTCATAAAAAAGGCAAAACTCGTGATTTATCTATAAAGAGGAAAGATTTGTATTTTTGCATTTTATATGTAGTGAAATAACTCAAAAACTACTGGAGCGAAATCAAAACTTCTACACTTATAAAGCTACGTCATCAGTGAGTAACGTAGGCTTTATTTTTAACGAGCTGTTGCCCGCGACTTCGTCCGCGTGGTATTAGAAAACATACGAACTATATAAATTACAAAAAGCTACGTATCCCGGGAACCGGACTTTTCTTGAGGATGAAGCTTATCCCATGTGTACTCCACACTTTGTTTTATATCTGTGACAAATTAAAATAAGATATGTTGAACCGTTGCAGAATGATCGAGTAAACATTAAAAAACTAAATTAATGTATCCCACGGGAACCGTAACTATTCCCGGGATAAAAAGTAGCCTATGTGTGCTTCCAGACTATGTTCTAAACCTGTGCCAAATTTCATGGAGATCCGTTCAGACGTTTAAGTTACAAACATCCATCTAAACTTTCGCATTTATAATATTCGTAAGATTTCAGGTGACAGAGGTCATAAGTAACAGCTAGTTTTTGACACCAGTAAGACTAGGAAAATAAAACTCATTTTACTTATTTATTTATTTATTTAACAATCTACATATTATTATCATACATATTTCTAATAGATTTTAATAACTCATTAACATTTTGTCCAGTTTTTGCTGAAATTCCTAACAATTTCTCGGGCCTTCTCTTCAAGTCTTTGTACATCTTCTGTCCTGACTCCAAGTCCATCTTGTTGAGGACGAGCAGACTGGGCCTGGAGGCCAGCTCGGCGCTGTACTGCCGGACCTCATGCTGCAGGGTCAGGAGCTGCTGAAGAGCATCCGATGCCCCATCTAATAAGTAAATCAGACCTCGACATCTCTCTAAATGTTGAAGGAATTGGATACCTGAGGAGAAAATTTTAAAAAAAGCTTTATTTCAATCCTTTCTCCTTTATGTACAATCAGGGAATTTGTCGGTGATCCTTAATAACTACAATTGTTTAAATTTTTTAATACGACGCGGAACAAAAGTTATTTCTTATTATTTTGACCGACTTCCCAAAAGAAGGAGGTACTCAATTCGTCTGTATGCTTTTTTTTTATTTTTTTTATGTGTGTTACGGCATAACTCCGCCGCTAGTGCGCCGATTTTGATAATTCTTTTTTTATCCGAAAGGTAATGCTTGCAGGTGGGTCTAATTTTTTTGTTTGATTTTTCTTATTAGTTATTTGTAAGAGTCGAAGTATTCTTTGTAATGAACAAGGCAATATTTGTAAGTAAAACACCGCGGATTTCCGCGATTGTACAATAAAAGTAAGGGAAGTGAATTTGGGGATGGGACGTCTTTGATAAAGACAACGCAAGCTAATGCGGTTGCAGGCAATGGCTTCGCTATTTTGGCGATTTCGCGGTGTCGCTTAAGTACCTTATCATATAACAAAAAATTGTTAATCATAACATAGAAGGATTTGTTAATATTAGTAGTTTATCTATAATTTTATAAAAAGAAATGATTTGGTTTTTGTATTTTTATATGTATTGAAATAACACAAAAACTACTGGGCCCATTTTAAAAATTCTTTCACCGTCCGAAAGGTAATTTATCTATACTATAATAAAGCGTAAACACACTTCTTTGTTGCCTAAGATGTCAGCAATTACAGCCAATCTTTAAATAATTCTACTTTTAATAACGCTTTAGGCTATACATTTTAACGCCATTAAACTTAGGGGGTAAATATTTTGGATAAAAACCCTAATGTGGGAAAGAGACCATAAGTTGATGCCAACATCAAGGAAGCAAGATTGTCAAGGTCTGTAATGTCATGTCATTTTGACATTTACTATTGATTATTTCACAAATGTATACAATAAAACAAAATTTTGATGATTTCATGCGGATGAAGCCGCACAAGAACAGCTAGTGCTATATACAGTCATAAGGGGAATTTAAATCATACTAATATTATAAATGTGAAAGTTTAGATGGATGTTTGTTAGAGTGTAGTCTAAACTACTGAACGGATTTCGATGAAATTTGGTATTACGTAGAGGATAGTCTGGAAGAACGGTGTCGCGGGCGAAAGCTAGTACAAACATACATAAAAACAAACTTTTCATAGAAAAACATTATCCTCTGTCGTTTAAAAGTATATAAGGTACTTACCTAATCCATAGTTCTTATGTGATCCGGGAATGAGGCCGGGCAAGTCTGCGATAGCCACTTGCTCGTAGTCGTCATATAAAACCATACCTGGACACGTGAAATATAGAAAAAAAAATATTTCTAACACTGTAAAAAATGGCAACTATGATTTCTTTTCGTCAAAAAATATTATTAGATTTTTGGTAATCTATACTTCTATACTATTATAAAACGTAAACACACTTCTTTGTTGCCTAAGATGTTAGCAATTACAACATGTTTTTGAATAATTCTTCTTTTAATAAAAAGCCCTACACTTACGTCACGCTTTAAGCTATATATTTTCACGCTATTAAACTTAGAAGTAAATATTTTAGATAAAAACCCTAATATGGGAAAGAGACTTTAAGTTGCTGCCAACATCAAGGAAGCAAGGTTTGTCATGTCATGTCATTTTGCTATTGATAATTTGACAAATGTGAACAATAAAATGATTTTTTTATAATTGTATGCGGATGAAGTCGCGTGGGAACAGCTTGTTTACTAATATTTCCTTTAACTATTCCAACTAAGCTGTAGGTTTTTGCTAGGATATGGTTCACGACAATCGAATAGCGGGATTATTAATCATTTTTCCCAAAAGAAGGAGGTACTCAATTCGTCTATATGTTTTTTTTTATTTTTTTATATGTGTTACGGCATAACTCCACCGCTAGTGGACCGATTTTGATAATTCTTTTTTTATCCGAAAGGTAATGCTTGCAGGTGGGTCCCATTTTTGTTTGATTTTTGGAGTCTAAGACTACGACGTAGTTAAATAGTTTTTGTCGTTAAAATTCAAGAAAACCCACCAATATGCGGTTGTTTGGTAGTGAAGGGGTAGGGCGCGACGGCGGGGCGCGCCCTGCTGACGGCTCGCAGCAGCGTGCTCTTGCCGGCGTTGGGGAAGCCCACGAGCCCCACGTGGGCCATGGAGCGCACCTCCAGCGAGTACACGCACGTCTCCCCCGCCGCGCCCAGCTCCGCGATATCCGGCGCCTACCAGTTTTTATTTGTTTTTATAATATAAGGTAGCAAACTCGCAAGCGGCCTGAATCCACTGAAATGTAAAGCGACCGCTGCCCATAAACATCCGCAATTGCAGCGCTGCCTACCCTACATTGACGGAGGAGACGCACATAAAGAGGACATTTCCCCTTCCTATGCATCTCCACCGTCAAATCCTCTTTTCCTTTCCATCCTTTCCTCTTAAGAAACGGGTGAAAAGGGAATAATTCTATAATAATAAATATAATAAAAAAGCCCGATACTTACGTCACGCTTAAGGTTACATACTTTCACGCTGTAAAAGTTAGGAAGTAAATAATTGGGATAAAACCGTCATGCGGGAAAGGGATAAAATCTACAAGCTGACAACATCAAAGAAGCCCGGTTATTTTTGTTATAATTTGTTAATGAAGCCGCATTAGAATATCTAGTAAGTACTATTGGGGAAAATGTCGGTGGTACAAAGAGCATACGCATTGAGACGCGGAAATAATTTGGATGTAGGTTTTAAAAAGATTGTTTCGTGGTACACGGGTAATTACTTTTTAACATCGTTTACTTCGAAGAAAGAGGAAAGAGGCGGTTATTTCTACTTGCTAAGACACAGACAATTTTTTATAAATGATACACTGCGTATTTCCGCAACTGTACATTCCAATTGAATTCTTACTTAAAATACTATAAGCCCATCAGAATAACAATGAACTTTTTATGTGTGAATATTTGTGAACAAAGTGTCAAAACAGCGATAAATGAAAGTACTTGGTCTCTGTGGGTGTTTCCCGTTGATAAACACACAAATTTATTTACCCAATTAGAATTCCATCAACAATCAATTTAACAGTGGTAGTGCCCGCTTTAACATGTTAGCACTGCAGGGCTCGCCCCCAATACCACGACCACACAGACAGGCGTCAAATGGAAGCAATTCTGTGTACAGTCTGATGAGTGTGCCGGAGGCCTAATTTTAGTCCCTTTCCCTTTCCATCTTTTTCTTAAGAGGAAAGGATGGGAAGGAAAAGTGGATTTGACAATTGAGGAGATACATAGGAAGAGGAAATGTCCTCTTTATGTGCGTCTCCTCCGTCAATGAAGGGTAGGCAACGCATCTGCAATTGCGGATGTTTATGGGCAGCGGTCGCTTTCCATTTCGGTGGATTCAGGTGGCCGCTTGCGAGTTTGCCACCTTGTATTATAAAAAAAAAACAATCAACCAGCAATCGACTCAACAGAAAAGCAGCCATTAATTGTTGAACTTATCCAACGGGAAACACAAGTCTGCCTACCCTTCTAAGTTACAAGCATTATATTCTTAGCTGTTACTGGTAAGTTACTTGTTGTGTAGAAGTAAGGAAGAACTTGTTCCCCCTGCCCCCCGCGCCGCCGCGCGCAGCCACAAACATCGTCCCCTCCAACTCCAGGTCACCAAGCACACGACCTTGAGGGTCTTTTACTATAGTACCTGGATGGAAACAAATCTCATCAGCACTTGAGATCGGAGACTACCTCATACATATAAAATAAAAAAAAATAAAATAAAATAACATTTAATCTTATCACCACTACAACACAATTTGGAATAAGAGAAAAAAAAACACACACACACAACAAAGTAATAAAAAAAAATAAAATAATAATAAACACGTAATTAACAGGACAAACAAAACAATTGAAATGTGTATGCAGTGCTGACCGGATTGGGTCCTCGCTCAGCAATAAATGCTGGATGCTTCTGATCGAAGCACCCGGAGCTGATCTTCCGCGAGAACCCTTGGGATCATCCACACGTCATTAGCAGCGGTGGACGGGCAGAAATATCAATTTACATACATTTGAGATAATTATGTGAAAGAACAATTCGTAATTACATAAGTATGTTACCAAAGATAAGAGAAAATAGAATATAAATTGTATACATAATGACAGCACATAGGTTAAAAGGTCACAGCTAACGATTAAGATTTATGCATACCATATTAACTAGTCTAAATTAGGGAAAAAAAAATTGAACTTAAAATCTTAAAAAACAAAAGTAGAGAAAAAAAAAAATTAAGGTTAGTTATAATTGAATATTTTTCCATAAGTTTAACGTTTTCTATCTTACTAATATTATAAATGCAAAAATTTATATGGTTCTGTGGCGACAATTTCGCACTGATTTCTATCCTAGCACTATTGGCAGTTACAGTTTGAATCTTAATATAAGCATTGACAATTATTGACGGCATGGTTTCTCTCTGTTGATAATTATTAGAGACTGTATATTGTACCTTTCTATAATATGAGAAATATGCTCAACAAGAAATCAAGTGCCCTTTATTTACACTTAAACATTGGTGACATTCATACCAATGTCCCACAGATCGATGTTTGGATTTCGGTTTATCATAGAAGTAAAGTCTGTAATCACACAGTCATCTTGTTTTTTTAATCACATGTGGATAGAGTTGCAGGAAGCTAGCCATAATAATATTATAAATGTAAAAGTCTAGATGAATGGATGTTTGTTAAAGTTTGTAGCCTAAATGGCTGTAGGGATCTCGATGAAATTTGGTATAGATGTAGAGGATAGTCTGGAAGATGAATAGGCTATTCACTTTTGTTTTTTTTTAACTCCACTCGAACGGAGCCGCGGGCCAAAGCTAGTCTTATATAAACATACTTACCTAAGGGTACTGGTATGACTACATGTTGTGCGTTCTTCCCTGTACAGTCCTTATTGTCTCCACGACCACCATGTTTAGCTTGCACCACAGATCTGCAGTGGTTTAAACTCTTTACTGTGTGTGATGCCTGGAAATAGACATATTATATTATAATAAGGACCTTTTAAAGGAGAAATTCTACATAAGGTTTTGATTTTCCTGATTAAGAAAGATTAGTTTATGTTAATTCAGCCGAATTCACTATTTTTAAGTATCCTATGCAACATAAAACACACTTCGATCGATCCGTCCATCAATTCTTGTTTGTGTATTTTCGTACCTGAAATATAACATGTCCGCCATGACCGCCGTCTCCGCCGTCAGGTCCCGCGTGCTCCTTGCACCAGGCACTTAAGAAAGATATACAACCATCGCCACCATTCCCTCCGACTGCTCGGACTCTGCACGAGTCCACGTAATATTGTACATACTGCCTGTTGGATTTTGGCTTCAAACTACGCAACGCTTTTGGAGTATAATCCGTATAAGTGCGTATCGTTTGTGTGTAACTTATTTTCAAAGTTTTTAATAAATTGATTAGTCTCATTTTTTATTACAGGTTATATTTTCATTGTTTACTATTTTTGAGAAATGTCAATGTCAATTGTTTTGACAGTTTGACTTTTGTTTTTTTTTTATTTAGAAACAAATAAAAGTATAGGAATATTCATCTTTTCGAAGTGATTTTTTATTTAAGATAAAATTGTTTTATAATGTTACTCATTAATTACTTGTATCTTTGTCAATAATAAAAAAAGTCTATTTTACTGTGTACAAATTTTGCTTCTCGCTTAATTGTATCTCCTCGTACGAAAGAATAATTATAATTATAGACGTGATAAAAAAAAATCCGTTTGACCTCTTACATTTAAAAAAACAACATTGCAGTATTAAAATTTTATGGTTTTAATTAAATTGAATACAAATTAACTTGTTAACGTTTCGTTTGCTTGCTGAGGGATATCATCAGTCGTGAGTGGCCACATTGCACTCGTGTCAGTATTCTCTGTGGCGAGTGGCGCTAGTGTCGCTGTGGTCACCGTTTGCGATACTTCATTCGTTTTACTCCTTCCAGCCTGTAATAAACACATTTATTACTGGAATCCAAACACATTAAATACAACTTTTTAAACCGTCTCTATGTACCTTTGTCCCCACGGAATTCTCTGAAAGTATTTCGTAGAGATTTTAAAAAGCATGGTCATAAAGTGCGTACGAAAGAATGTAAGGTAAATGCACCACTTATTGACCATAACCGTAACCTTAATCATAACGTTGCTATACTTTCAATTGTTAATTGTTATAGTAAAAATGCAGAAAGCCTCACGTAGACATATCACTGCATACCTTGGCTGACACCGACATCAAAGTAATAATAATTGTACAATATAGACATAACACTTACAATAAGGGAGGTTTAATATTTTGAAGGAATTATTTCGTTACTTTATAGTGTACTGTTTTTTTGAGAATATTTTGTTTTTGTTATCTTAGGTAGGGCATTGCCCCAATGCCCCCCCCAGTTATGGTGTGTGTGTGTGTATGTGTACCGCGTGTGCAGGTGCTGGTGCGGGGTGGTGGCGGCGCGCGTGGTTGTGCAGCGCGGCGGGGTAGCCGAAGGCGGCGGGGCAGCGCGCGCAGCGCAGCGGCCGCTCCCCGCTGTGCGCGCGCAGGTGCCCCGCCAGCGCTGACTTACTCTGCCACACAAAATACACTAAATTACTAATATATGCCAAAGTTTAGTTGAATAGATAAAGATATAGATTTAGCAGTGGCAGTGCCCGCTTTACAATCTTTGCCCTGCAGGGCCAGCTCGCCCCGTGTAATACTACGACCACACAAAAAAACAGGCGTGAAATGGAAGCAATTCCGTGTTTCGTCTGATGAGTGTGGTGTCGGAGGCTTCATTTAAGTCCATTTCTCTTTACCACGGAAGGGGAAGTGTATTTGACAGTGGAGGAGATGCACAGGAAGGGGAAATGTTCTTTTTATGTGCGTCTACTCCTCCGTCAGATAAGAGTAGGCAACGCATCTGCAATTGCGGATGTCTATGGGCAGCGGTCGCTTCGCCATTTCGGCGGATTCAGGTGGCCGCTTGCTGGTTTGCCACCTTGTTATAAAAAAAAAGATAGTCATACATGTAGGTTAGGGTTGTAACAGAGCAGTGGGGCGGCGCGGTGGCAAGCGCAAGCGATCCCGTGGCCAAGAGGGAACGAAGGGATTTAGTGAGGTATGCCCCCCACTATGGGGGGAGAGTCCCACATAACTCTCGTGTCTGCCCAGAGGCATGGAGTATGCGGAACGCATTCCCGTTCGAAAAAAAAGGTTTGTAACAGAGGCTATTTTAACGGAAGCGGATGCGAAGGGGAAGGGCAGCACCTCTACAGAAGCGGAGGTTAACGGAAACGGAAACGCAGGAAAATAATAAAACATTTATTGCGATTTAGTAAAGAAATAAAAATTAAGATTGGTACTTATAATTACAAGATATAATTTATTATGTAAATATAATGTATGACAATTATGGTATAGTTAGTTGACTTTATCTAGAAGGAAGGTAAATGTACTAATTATTGATTAGAGGTGATGTGTGTGTGCAAAAAGTAAGGTAAATGCACCAATTATTGACTGGAGGTAATGTGCATGCTAAGAGTAAGGTAAATGCACCAATTATTGACTGGAGGTAATGTGCATGCTAAGAGTAAGGTAAATGCACCAATTATTGCCCAGTGTCAATGTGTGTAGTGTGTGTCTGACCGTGTACGCCTTCCCGCAGAGATGGCAGACGTGGTCGCGGCGCGCGCGCACGTCGCGGTGCACCATGCGCTTGTGCGTGCGCAGTACGGGGCGCGACGAGCACGCCTGATACATACATTTTTACCGTACTATTTATAGAGGAAGAATTTTATTAATTTTGGGCCTGTCCCACCCTATTGTAAAATAATAAAATGTGATGGTAATATCGGATTTTGTTACCTAATGACAGTGACGTCTTTTTTAAGCTAACTGAGTCTCTATCTGCTAGTGGTGGGACAGGCACTTAATCTTACGAATATTATAAATGCGAAAGTTTAGACATGTTTGTTAGTTTGTATCCTAAACTGCTGGGATCTCGATGATTATCATACATGTAGATACATGGGCTACTTTTTTTAATTCATTCCACGAGGATAGTCGTGGGCGGAACCTAGTAGACAATAAATAACAAGTATCTCACTTTTACTAATATGATAAATGAGAATTTGTAGATAGATAGATGTTTGTTACTACTTATCTCCAGAAGGGCTCCATAGATCTTGATGAAATTTGACAAAGATGTAGAACATAGTCTGGAAGAGGACATAAACCAACATTTTTTTTTTAAACGCGAAATCACAGACAATAGCTAGTAAAACAAGTTAGTGATATTTCCCATTTCTCTTGAATGTTATTTGTATGTGGAAGGCGGATTGAATTGTGGTATTAGGGAAAGCCTACGTCCAGAGAGTAGGCTGATGGTGATGGGAATGATGATGATGAAATGAATACATACAAAGTTACATCCACTTTCGGTACATTTGACAGGCGTTGTTTTGAGATGCACCGCCACGTGGTGCTCCTCCAGCCGCTTGCGCTTCACGAACTTCTTGTCGCACTGTCCACACGCGTACCTGTACCATACTATACCTTTTACCTAATACAAACTTAGCACACAGAAGACATAGTAACAAAATTATTTCACCGGTACTTTCTCTGAAAGATACTATTGTTAAATTTAATGCAGTCTCGTGTGTGTCTACAAAATATAATATTTAAATCTATACTAATATTATAAGAAAGATTTGGATTTTTGTATGTATTGAAATAACTTCAAAACTACTGGGCGGATTTTGACAATTCTTACATCGTTAGAAAGGTAATTAATCTGTGAGTGACATAGGCTATATATTTTATTGATTTCAAGCGGACAAAGTCGCAAGCAACAGCTAGTATTATATTGACATGCGATTTTAAAAATCTATCAAAGATTACGTGAAGAGTTAGTTTTTAAATTGAAGTTTTGTGAAAGTCAAGAAGTAGAAAGAATACTCACTTAAGTCTCGCAGGATCTACATGCTTGAGGCTGTACAGCATATGCTGTTTGTACGACATCTCGTTCTTGAAACTTAAATCACACTGAAATAACATTTTTTGCAATTTCACACCTATACAATTTTATAAACAGAAAACATATGTATTTTTGTATGTATTGAATTAACTTAAATTTACTGGATTTTAGAATTATTACACCATTAAAAAGCTATAGTATCACTGTAATAGGCTGTATTTTTACTATTTTTTTATATCACGCAGGCGAAGTCGCGTGCAACATCTAGTCAAAAATATACACAATATCAATGGCTCAGGTGTTATTAGTTTGTAATTTGGAAATCCTAGTTTCGAATTCATATTAGGAATTGTCTTATTCATTCAGCAACGGTTCCACATATCATAGTTTGGAGTACACATGGGATAAGCTTGATCCCAGAGAAATGCCCGGTTCCCGAGGGATACGTAGCTCTATGTTATTCATATAGTTCGTATGTTCTCTAATACCACACGGACGAAGTCGCGGACTACAGCAGGTATATGTATATCTCTATACTATTATACAAAAGCGTAAACACACACTTCTTTGTTGCCTAACATGTCAGCAATTACAACATATTTTCGAATAATTCTTTTTTTTAATAAAAGCCCTACACTAACGTCACACTTTAGGCTATATATTTTTACGCCATTAAACTTGGGGTAAATATATTGGATAAAATCCCTTATGTGGGAAAGAGACCATAAGTTGCTGCCAACATGAAGAAAGAAAGATTGCTAAGGTTTATAATGTCAAGTCATTTTGACATTTGCTATTAATAATTTGACATAGTTTACTGCGGATGAAGCCACACGTGAACAGCTAGTATATATATATAATAGACGTACAGTATGACAGTAAATGCTGGAGTGCGGGTCGTGCGTGGCGCGGTGCAGCTCCATAGCGCGCTTGAAGAGGAACCGCTTGTCGCATTGCGGATGCGGACAACGGAACTCCTTCTGTCCGCTGTGGATACTACAACGATATCCACTTCTCATATATACACAGTCAAAAATATATAGCACAGGACACTTCATTTGACAATTTTTTTATATAATTAAAGATAAAAATACATCCTTAAATCTGTACTAATGTTATTAAGAAGGATTTGTATTTATGGTATTTTGTATGTATTGAAATATTTCAACCACTGGGCCGGTTTTAAATTTTCTTTAACCGTCACAAAGGTCTTACTAACATTATAAATGCGAAAGTTTGGATGGATGTTTATTAGAATTTGTAGACTAAACAGCTGAACGGATCTCAATGAAATTTGACATAGACGTAGGTAGTCTTTAAGAACACTAAATTACTTACTTTTGTTTTTTTTTTAATTCACACGGACGGAGTCGCGCGCGAAAGCTAGTACTGAACACAATAGTTCGTGGCATAGAATATCAGCGATCTCAGTATATTTTTGAATAATGCTCTCTTTGATTAGCCCTATACTTAGAATTTACTAAACAAAATAACCAGTGTAATAAGGTCTGTACTCACAAGAGATGGTTCTTCAAAGCGCTTCGATCCACAAAGGTCTTGTCGCACTGGTCGCATTTCACACGCTCCGAGTGCTGTTTCATATGTAGACGGAGTTTGTTTAACGTGCTATATTAAAAATGGTAAAATTGTTGATAAATACACTATAGATATATAATCTATAGATAGTGTTTTATTGAAAAAACATCTAATTAAAGGTTGTTATTAAAAATGTCATTTTGTATTGTACATGTCAACACTTAGGACGTTTACCCTAATGAAAGGGTTCTACACATATTTTTTAGCTTTTTTTGCTCCGGATAAGGTATCTAATTGGAATTACTGAAAATTGGTATGGATGTTAGTTATTAATTTCCAAAACAGCTTAACGGATCAATTTTTTTTTAAATCTGCGCAGATGAAGTCGCGGGTAAAACAAATATAACTTTTTACAAATATAATAAATGCGAAAGTTTAGATGGATGTTTGTAGCCTAAACTGCTGAATGGATTTTAATGCAATTTGGTACAGATGTAGAGGATATTTTTTTACTAATATCGCTATAGCTAGTTAACTAAACTTGTGCTTAAGCCAATGCCTTCCCTTTCAAATACCTTTAACAGGAAGAAAACTAACACATAGGCTACTTTTGGACAGACTTCCCAAAACGAGGTACTCAATTCGTATGTATGTTTTTTTTAATAGGGAATATGCAAGTATTTTTTTTTTCTTTAAACGATCCTACTTGTTACAAAATAACCAGAATAAAAAAATTAACTCGAAAATATTCAACCATTGAGCTAAAAATAATAAAATAAAATTACGATCATTTTCGTGCGACTAAAACGCGACCGGAGTTGTCATGAGACACGTGACGTCAATCGTCTTATTCCATTCATAAAATACGCTTAGATGGCACTTCGATGTAAAAAACAACAAAGCTTCTCAAGGTCAAAAAGTAAAAAATGGATTAATTTTTATGATTCCTGGTACAAATAAGTGGTATTTAATAATTCTATTCATTAATTTTTAATTTTAAAGTAGGTTTTGATATCGTGTTTACAGTAAAATACTTCAAGAGTGTATTTCTATATGAACTAATGTAAATGAACTGTGTATTGTCAACACAGCGACGCCATATTAGATAAGCCACTTGCTTCGACCAATAGTGTGCGTTTTGGAACTTAGTGGGGACATTTTAAGACACTTTAATGATTAAATTTGGCCACTAAATCACATTATATTAAAAAGTCATTACAGGTAAGTTTGGTACAATTTGTCGTCATATGCATATTGGCTATTGCACGCGGACGGATACAAGTAAAAGGTATTGTGTGAGTGTAACTATGTGAGAATGGTGTACTAACGGGAAGTGGTGTGCGCAGAGCGAGCAGTGGTGCGTGGGGCTGGCGGCGCGGTGCGCGCGCGACACGTGGTCCGCCGCCACGCTGGCGCGGGAGCAGCGCGCGCCGCACAAAGCGCACCGCCATCTGCAGCCACCGACACACGCACGCACTGTACCTCAGTCACAGTACTCTTGGGTAGTACACGTAAATGTACTAAAAAGTAATGTCACTGGCCACTGTACTAAAAGTAACGTTACCGAACTTCTGTTAATCGGACATTTAGTACTTTTAGTACACTACACAATATCGGTGTTCGATTGTTTGATTTGATTTAGTCTTGGGCTTAATCGGACATCTGCAAGTGCACACCGTAGTAGTACAATTGGGAAAACGTAATAGTACACACTTTTAGTACCTTTAGTACTTCAGATTTGTAAGAACACAATACATGAATAGAATATAACAAGGGTTATATATTACTTCACATCAAATTTAAACAGGTTCGAACATATGTTATTAGCAAAAATAAATTTAGTTGTGAATAATTGCATCCATTTTTGATTCTCATTATCGAAGGTGGATGCTTTAATCTGGCAAATATTCAATCAAATCATACAACGAAGAGGCGAACACCGATATCGTGTAGTGTACTAAAAGTACTAAATGTCCGATTAACAGAAGCCGTTGGGTAACGTTACTTTTAGTACAGTGCCGAGTAACATTACTGTTTAGTACATCGTACGTGTACTACCCAAGACCTTCGATATTGAGAATCAAAAATTTATTTTCGCTAATAACACATGTTTGACCCTGCTTAAAATTGGATATGAAGTAATATATAACCCTCGTTATATTCTATTCATGTATTGTGTTCTCACAAATCAGAAGTACTAAAAGTGTGTACTAGTACGTTTTCCCAATTGTACTAGTACGGTGCGCACTTGCAGATGTCCGATTAAGCCCAAGACTAATTGACAGTGGTAGTGCCCGCTTTAACATAGCACTGCAGGCCGGCACCCCAGTAATACCACGACCACACAGACAGGCGTCAAATGGAAGCAATTCCGTGTACAGTCTGATGAGTGTGGTGCCGGAGGTCTAATTTTAGTCCCTTTTTTTACCACCCTTTTCTTATAAGGAAAGGGGAAATGGATTTGACGGTGGAGATGTATAGAAAGGGGAAGTATCCTCTTTATGTTCGTCTCCTCTGTCAGATAAGGGTAGGCAACGTTGAAATAGCGGATGTCTATGGGCAGTCGCTTCGCCATTTTGGCGGATTTAGGTGGCCGCTCGCTCGTTTGCCATGTTATGTTATAAAAAAAATACAGTAGAACCTCGATCACTTAAACCACTTTAGTGGTATATTTTTCAACTATCAAAAAGTAGGTTTAAAAATAAAATTATGCATGTAATTAACCTTATATACTTAGAAATACCAATATGTATAATTACGTGATTTTGTTTATAATTTACTAGCTGTTTCCGCGCGGCTTCATCCGCATGAAATTATGAAAAGTATATTTTATTGTTTACATTTGTCAAATTATCAATAGCAAATGTCAAAATGACATGACATGACAAACCTTTGCCATTTTACTTTCTTGATGTTGGCAGCAACTTATGGTCTCTTTCCCACATTAGAGTTTTTATCCAAAATTTACCCCTAAGTTTAATGACGTGAAAATTTATAGCCTAAAGAGTGACGGAAGTGTAGGGATTTTTATTAAATAAGGAATTATTCAAAAATATGGTGTAATTGCTGACATCTTAGGCAACAAAGAAGTGTGTTTACGCTTTATTATAATAGTATAAACAAATACTCACTTGACTTGATGTCTCTTCTTATGCGCGGCGAGTGCGGACGCTTGCTTGCAACGAATTTTGCAAACATCACATACTTCCGGACCATATTCCTATAGAAATGTGCAATTAACTAGCTGTTCCCGTGTGGCTTGACCCGTATTCAATTATAAAAAAACTTTATTTTACTGTTTATATTTGTCAATTTCAATTGCTAATGTCAAATTTACCGTTGACAGATCTGGATTAAATTTGTCGTATATTTAGAGCATAGACTGGAAGAACACATAGGCTACTTATTTTTTTTTATAATATAAGATGGCAAACGAGCAAGCGACCACCTGAATCCACCGAAATGGAAAGCGACCGCTGCCCATAAAAATCCGCAATTGCAGCGCTGCCTACCCTTCATTGATGGAGACGCACATAAAGAGGACATTTCCCCTTCCTATGCGTCATCTCTAACGTCAAATCCACTTTTCCTGCCCATCCTTTCCTCTTAAGTAAAGGATGGAAAGGGAAAGGGACTAAAATTAGGCCTGAGACACCACACTCATCAGACTGTAGGCGGAATTGCTTCCACTTCACGCCTGTTTTCTGTGGTCGTGGTATTGGGGGCGAGCCCTACAGTGCGAAGATGTTAAAGCGGGCACTACCACTGTTAAAAGCTGTTGGAATCGCGGGCTAAAACTAGTTTAAAGAATAAAATAAAGTTTTCATATGAGAAGCTACAAAAGAACGTAATATATTTCTTACTGGATCATGTTTTTTCATATGGTTATCCAATTTAAATTTATGATTGAATCCGAGAACGCAATCGTAACAACGGTAAAGCATCTTCTTGAAGGAGTCACTTTCTAACGCTTTCTGACGTTCTTCTTCCACCTACAGAAGAGAACTTCGCTTCAAATCTTACCCTAATTAAAGTCTTTGTCTTTCAAAGACTCAAATTGAAAGAAATTTATATCGATAGCTTTCGCCCGCGAATCCGTTCGCGTGTAATTAAAAAAATGAAAGTGAGTAGCCTATGTGTTCTTCCAGACTATCCTCTACATCTATACCAAATTTCATCGAAATCCGTTCAGCCAATTAAGCTACAAACTCTAACAAACATCCATCCATCTAAACTTTCGCATTTATATTAGTATGAAGTATTTTTATGTTAATCTTACTAATATTATAAATACGAAAGTATATACGTATGTTAGTTTGTATCCTAAACTGCTGAACGGATCTCGATTGTCATACATGTATAATCTGGAACAAAGTCTACTAATTTTTTTAATTCCACGCAGAGTCAGGGGCGAAAGCTAGTCTTACAAATATAAATGCAAAATTTTAGATGGATTTTAGAGTTTGTAGCCTAAACTGCTGAACAGATCTGGATAAAATCTGGAAGAACACATAGGCTACTAATTTTTTTTAATTCTACACGAAGTCGCGGGCTAAAGCTAGTCTTACAAATATAAATGCAAAAGTTTAGATGGATTTTAGAATTTGTAGCCTAAACTGCTGAACAGATCTGGATGAAATCTGGAAGAACACATAGGCTACTAAATTTTTTTAATTCTACACGAAGTCGCGGGCTAAAGCTAGTAACACCATAACGGAGAAAGTTTGAATGTATGACTTTTAAGCCAAGACCACTGACCAGATCTGGATGAAATTTAGCTTAAATAACCATAGTCTGGATATAAAGGCTACCTAATTCCACGCGGAGTCGCAGACGAAAGCTAGTCTATATGTTAGTTACTAACCTCTTCCCATGTTAAAACAACAAGTTGCATATATTCGTTGTCGGCCATATTGAGTTTTTTCAGAGTTTTTACAGAATGCATCGTATATCGCGTTATTTGACCGCGACTCATATCTTTGTCCTCTAAATCTGGTAAAAAGATAGGAGGAAAGAATGGACAAATCACTGACAGTAAATAGATAGGTTACCATTTGTATATCTTACTTCTTACTAATATTACAAATGCGAAAGTTTAGATGAACGGATCTCCATGAAATTTGGCACAGGTTTAGAGCATAGTCTGGAAGAACACATAGGCTACTTTTTATCCCGGGAATAGTTACGGTTCCCGTGGGATTCATTAATTTAGTTTTTTAATGTTCACTCGATCATTCTGCAACGGTTCAAAATATCTTATTGAAATTTGTCACAGATATAAAACAAAGTCTGGAGTACACATGGGATAAGCTTCATCCCCGAGAAATGTCCAGTTCCCGGGATACGTAGCTTTTTGTAATTTATATAGTTCGTATGTTTTCTAATACCACGGAGACGAAGTCGCGGGCAACAGGTCGTAGTAATATAATAAAGAGGAAAGATTTGTTTTTTTCAATTTTTGCATATGACGGAAATGATTTCTAGGCAATGGGAACGGCAATAGAAAACATTGTTTTCGTACCTTGCTTATTGCGAATTTGGAATTCCACACAATTTCTAGGATATGTGTATTTAATAATATTTGAAACATTTTACACAATACCCTACACCTAGACAAAGTATACAATTCCTAGTTATCCCACATTTACGGTAACATAACTATTAGACAACTTATTGAATTGATACTGTCGCTTTTAACTCAGAGCAACACTTCTCGTCAAGACTCAAGTTGCGCGCCAATCTCTCCATACTTCTAGTGACATTGACAGCTGTCAGCTAGGGACGTGACGTTTATGCAGATAATCTAGAGTTGCGCCAACTCTATAGCACGGTACTAATTTTATTACTAACATAAGTTACTAATCTTACTAATATTATAAATGCGAAAGTTTAGATGGATGTTTGTTAAGAGTTTGTAGCCTAAACTACTGAACGGATCTGGATGAAATTGGCATACATGTAGAGGATAGTCTGCAAGAACACATAGGCTACTTTTTTTAACTCAACGCGAACGGAATCGCGCGAGAAAGCTAGTATTGAAATAACTCAAAAATTATTAGGTAGATTATAAAAATATCACTATTAGAAAGGTAACTTATCTGTAACATAATAGTTTACTATTTTTTAATTTCAAGCGGACAAAGTCGCGAGCAACAGCTAGTAAGAAATATATAACAGACACGATTTTTATTTGTTATTTACATTCTTTGTCAATGTCTATGTTACTCAGACAAATTACCTTTCTAATGGTGAAAGAATTTTTAAAATCAGCCGAGTACTTTTTGAATTATTTCAATACATACAAAAATACAAATCTTCCCTCTTTATAATAGTATAGATAAAAGTTTATTACATAAAAAACATAAAACGCAATATTTCTATTAATTTAGTTAGACATCTTGTTCAATTGAATTTACAAATGAAAAAAATTACTACAAAAAAACAATGCAAAGTATATTACCTTTAGTTTGTTTTCTTTCTGTCTTAGTTTTAGTCTTTTTAGTGTTATTTGTTGCTTTTTTCGTTGTTTTTTTCTTCTTTTTTAATGGCTCTTCATCTGTGATATTAAAGTTTTCTTTTGACATGAATGGATCTGTCAAATCGGTCTGAAAAATGTGAAAATTAATTTTTAAGTCATACAAAAGCTTCTTACGACATGTTATGCGACGAAATGTTGGGGACATAAACCAGAAAGTGTTAAGATTGAATGTGGATGGCTACAAAGGTAGAGGAAGACCGAAGAAAGTATGGATGGATTGTGTGAAAGAGGATATGCTTAAGAAAGGAGTGTATTCAGATATGACGGCTGATAGAGATGTATGGAGCAGCACATACTCTGCCGACCCTCCATAAGAGAAAAGGGGATGATTACAAAAGCTTCCAGTGCAGCGTGGTTGACTATGGCCTAGTCACCCTAACTTAGGGTAGGCTCCGATCCCTTTGGTGGAGACGTATAGTAAGCCGGTGATGATGATGATGATGATGACAAAAGCTTTTTTTTATATAATAAAAGGGGGCAAACGAGCGGCGAGATCACCGAGGTGGTCAACCACACCCATAGATATCCGCTACACCTGAGGAACTACAGATGCGTTGCCGGCCTTTGAAGAAATGATAGACTCTCTTCTTGAAGGACCCTAAGTCGTATTGGTTTGGAAATACCGCTACTGTGCGAGGCATAAAGTTCCGCGAAAACTGCACGATTTATCCATACTGTTACAAAAAAATAGAAACAAATGTAGTAGTGGGGGGTTAGTTTTATAAAAGACTTTGCAAGGAGTGAGGCAGCTCCCAGTCTCAGTCGCTAACAAGCTCTCTAGCCGTCAGTAGCTCAGTACATTGCTAGTCATTACCACGGAACATTAGATATCTTTTACGTAGTTACCTTAGTTTTTTTTTTATAATCTACTGTGGTAGTGCCCGCTTTAACATCTTAGCACTGCAGGGCCAGCACGTCCGGTGTAATACCACGACCACACAGAAGACAGCCGTGAAATGGAAGAAATACCGTGTTTTATCTGATGAGTGTGGTGCCGGAAGCCTAATTTAAATCCTTTCTTCTTTACCACCCTTTTCTTATAAGGAGAGAATGGGAAAAGGAAGTGAAGGGGAAACATCCTCTGTATGTGCATCTCTTCCTCTGTCGAATAAGGGCAACGCATCTGTAATTGCGGATGTCTATGGGCAGCGTGAATACGTATTGATTAGGGTAACGCGTACCATCTTACGACCAAATCTTCACTCTCAGTCGGTGGGATCGTGGTCAAGCGCTAGCTTAAAAACTTAAAATAAAAAAAAGCGTTTGCTTCGTTCGTTTTAGCGGTTTCCGGTGGCCGCTTGAACTTTTATCACCTTATGTTATAAAAAAAAATACAGAAACTAACCATATCCATATATTCTTCATTATTAAATGTTGCATTTAGTTGAAAATCCTCAACATTTTGTGAATTTTCAAGTTTAACAAAAGTCATTGGTTCAACCTCTGTATCCATTGTATCCATTAATGGATTCTCAATGTTGATATTTAATGGATCTATTTGATGGATTGATAATCTTGTTAGGGGTGTTAAATCCGTTGAAGTCATCTGGAAAATGTTTGTTTGTGGCATAAATCTTACTAATATTATAAATGTGAAAGTTTAGATGGATGTATGGACATTCGTTAGAATTTGTAGTCTAAACGGCTCAAAGGATTTAGATGAAATTTGGTATTGTAGAGTATGGAAGAACACATAGGCTACATACTTTTTTTTTAATACCACGCAGACGAAGTCGCGGGAAAGCTAGTAATTTTATAAATAGCAACTTCCATGTGAAAAACAAAATATATTGTATGTTAGTAAGTGATAATGTAGCTTTTTAATGGTGAAAGAATTTTTTAAATCAACCAAGTAGTTTTTGAGTAACTATAAAACATATAAAAATACAAACATTAGTATGATTACAGTGAAGTAGAAAAAAAAATAATGACCAGCAACAACTTACCAAATGATCAAATAGTGTATTATGTGCTTTTTTAACTTGCTGTCGAAATGTAGCCATTTTGCGAACATTCGCTGTGCACTCCCAACACAAGAGACATGCACTTATATGATTCTGGAATATAGATCAAAATTACGAGAAATAAATTGATTTTATAAACAAACTCGACAAAGATTAGATGCCGTGCAAAAACAATAGAGAAGACTGGCTGGTATCCCGAGATTCAAACAAATTGGAACACGATGTATTCGAGGAAAAAAAGGTAGCGTTCTCTGATGTGACCAAAATACAGGAATCTATCTATATTATTTTATTTAGTATGTCATTCATAATAAGCAGAAAATACTCACTTTTTCAAGGAGATCAGAGTAAAATTTCAAATACATCGCATCTGCTATTGCAGTTAACTTTCTATCCATACTTAAACAGCCCTCACATATACCTCCATACCGTGTATTTATATTAGAATTCATTGTTGTTTAATTCAATTAAAAGCTTTATTCTCGATTTACAAGTTTTTTTGATAAAACTTTTACTTTGACTGACATTTCCTTTGAGTTTTCTTTTTTGACATTTGTTTAATGTCAAAGATCACGTTTCGATGTACGCAAATATTTATTAAATTGATGCGCAAATTAAAAATTCTCGATTGTTTCCTTTTAAAACAAAAAAATTATCTTCTTGGATGTAATATAATTTATGTTATAAAACGTATTTTAATAAAAGTAGTCTTCTGTTTTATGATTATCACAACTTCCAGCTAGATTTGAATACCAAAAAAAGTTAATTGGAGTTACTTTTATTTAACACTTTAAAAACGATAGTGTAAAATATTTCGACACAAATGATTTCCTTTAAAATATAGACAGACGGCCAGATTAAAAATACTAGCAAATTACTTTAAAACACACAATCTAAACTCCAACGTCTGAGCCTGCCTGAGTCACTTCTTGCAAAGTGTTTTACAAAGTTTTGTAATTCCAACAATTCCTTCCGTTTCCTAATATTTTCCTAACATTATTGTTATTTTAAATAAAGATTAATAGTATTGATAAAGTAGCGAAGATTAACAAATAACTTTTTAGAATACAGTATATATCAAAATGGTTGAAAAACTAACAATTGGTAGTGCCGTTTTCAAATAATACATTTGTTATCCCAGTTAAAATCTGGAATATTTTCAAACCAAAATTTTAATATTTCTGGCCTGGGGACATCTCGGTTTTATTACTGTCTTTAGCTTAAATGTGTGCAAATACATTAACTCTTTGCTTATGTACTTCAAATATGTACCTTCTTTAGTATTTTTTCTGCCTTCCTAATCTGTATTACAAAAATTACATACGTCTTATGTCAATAAAACGAGCATTTTTATTAAAAGTTTTTATTTATTCACATACATGTAGTAAGTACTTATAAATTGTACAAACAAATTATTCATTCATATCGACATCTTATAAATAAATAGCACATCACTATATATTATGACAACCACGTATGAATTACTGACATTTATAAATGGACAAGCAAATAGGCATGTTTTTGAGCGTACATTATTGACGCCATTTTGGCGCTGACTGAATTTATTGGTAGCGGTGGTTAAGATACAAACTATTAATACGTATAAATATGAAACGCCTACAGGCGATTGTATGTTGTAAATCTAAAGATGTAATTTCTAAGCATATCCATTTATACAGATCAGTGGTTTGAATAAAACGAAGATTTTTTTCACGAAATATCAAGTCACAAAATTCATCAACCTTACACCCAAATACTGCATATATTTTAAAGCTAAGATTAATAATAATAAATAATTTAAATAAAAGAAATAAATTACTCAGTTTTACAATACATTCAAAATGTTCGCGGCAAGTGTTGACAGTTTTATTTTCACAATAAATCTGTCAAAACAGTAAAATATGGCGTCCATTTTACATCGAGAGTTTTGTATGAAAATTATATTTTTAATTAATTTAAGCCTATTGAATGGCTCCAGTGAGCGTAATAAAATATTGTTTTATTATCCCAGTGTAAAAATCAACTTTTAAACTTCATAAAATACCCGTTTTGATCTGATGTCAAAGTGTACGATCCAAATGTAAACCGATACAAACCAAGAAATTAAATAAAGATTTTTTATTTTTTTTTTCATGAAATTTCTTGTACTAAGTCGGATTAGATGTTTTTTTTTATTTATTTTATATTTGATGTGTAACTTGATTTATTTGTACTATTTGAATATTCACAACTTTATTGTAGCTCACTGGTCTAGACTAGAACCTATACTAAATTCAATCGTTTACGATCGTTTAACCTTGTCACCGAAACTTTGCTTACTGTAATTTTCCGTTACGGTTGTTACCGATGTTTCGGTTACCGGTTTTGTATCGGTGATGGAATTACCGAAGTATATTGCTACGTCGTTATCATCTTTTAATTGTTGTATTGTTTCTACACCAGGAGCTGGAACCACGATAGTGTGTGTTACTGAATTATCAGGTTTCAAATCACAGTCACTGTGATCATCATTTTTGTGATCTGTGCTTTCTCTGTGCAATATTTGTTGTATGTTCTTAGTTCCTTGTGTCTCTTGGTCTTTTTGCTGTGGTTTCTCTTTGGTTCTGTCTATAGGTTCGTAACCGGCTGGTAAATCTAAACCACCGATATCTATGTTACCGAAATCAAAGTTTGACTGTTTTATAGTTTGTACGGATTTCTGAGGTTGTGAAGGTTCTTCTATCGCTTGTAAAATGCTTTGAAGTAAGCCTTCTGATAATAATTGCTCGTGAGGTATTGATGGACTCCCTTTACCTTTTCCGTCTTCTGATGATTGTATTTGTAAAGAGTATGTCGCTAAGTTACCTTTAATGGGAATTTCAGAGCCGAATTGTCCGAATTTATTCAAATTTTGATTGCTTGAAGCTAGCTTTTGTTGTAATCGTTTGGTTTCTTCGCTTAGGTTTTTAATTTTCTGCGAAGTGTGATATATTTGTTCGGACACAGAGTTTATGTTATCCTTGTACGTATGTTTGCCGATCTCGTCTTTTAATGATTTACCTTTTTGGATGCTTGTTTTCTCTGTCTTTTCGTTCTTTATTGTATTTGTTGGTAGGATGGTTTGTACTAAAGTGTGCGACGCTGTAGATAGATCTTTGGTGTGGTAAGAAACAGATTCACTGGCTGGAGCTGGTATATTAAAATTATTTTGAGATGTTATAATATTTTGGTGATTTTTAGCGAATGTGGAACCTAAAGTACTTAAGCTAGCGACGTATTTCGATGCCAAATCTGCTGGGATTTTCTCACCTGCCTTCGCTGCTTTTAGAATAGCTTCATGGTAAGGACAATGTTTTAATATGGCTGCAGCTTCCAAGCTTGAAAGGTTCGCTAGGATAGTTCCGTCTATAGTCGCGGTGACTGCATTGTTGCTTGAACCTGACGCAGTATGGTCGCCTACAGTCAGTAAAGGTGCGGAATACGAGTCTATCGGTGATCCGTACAAATTGCTCGGTTGCTGTAGACTTTGGAAGGTTATCGGATTGCCTGAATGTGGTAAACTGTACAGATTCGATGGCTCAATAGACACGGAGACTCCGTTGTAATGGTTACCGGTTTGCGAATTTATATCTTTCACTTCTCTAATAGGTGGAGGTAAATATCCAGGTCCTTGTTTCAAATGATCTATACCATGGGAATCTTTATGGTGTACAGTATGTCCGATTTGCTGTATTAATCCTTCGGGTACTGATTCTCTGAATTTGATTGGGTGTTTAGGTGTGTTACCACCAGTGTGTATAGAGTGTCCTCCTCCGGAGAATGTACCATAAGGTATTGGGAGGTTAGCATGAGCTTTTGGTACTCCGTATATACTTGCAGGTGAGATAAGCTTCGCGCCTTGTTGTCTCAAAGAAGGTGGGTAAGGTCCATTGGATAATGAGTCTAATGGTGGAGCGCTGTAGGTATCTATTGGCTTGTCAAGTCCAGTTGATTGGATTAAAAGGTTACCATGAGGATTGTTTTCCGTATAATGAGCTTCGAAGACAGTCTTCGATTGGTCGATGTGGTTGGAATCTCCGCCTACGATCGCGTTTAGATCAATATTCGCTAATGCATCTTGGTGTACGTTGGAATAGCCTGATGTTATTTGAGCGTTGGAATATCCTTGGTTGACATTTTGTAAGTTACCACCTAAGTTAATGTGGACTTCCTGTACTTGTGGTACTGGTGGTGGAGGTCCATACTGATCGTCAATGTGGACATGAGATGCTGAATTGATGTTAGATGTGTGAATATTAGAAGTGTGAATATCAACGTGTTCTACCAATGGCTTAGATACTCCGGGAATTGGTTTCCATCCGTCATACAAGACGTGAGGTGGTGTAGGTGGGGCAGGGATACCTGGATGAGGTGGTCTTGGATTTGGGTCCGGTTGTGGAGGACCATAATGACCACTGTGGTCAAAATCTTGGACTACCACTTGGTCGTTGGGTCCTACTGGTCCTAATATATGACCCGGTGGACCATAAGTGTCTGATGGTATTGGGAAATTAGGTTTCAAATCCAACGGAAGACTGGGTAACGGAGTTCCGTATATCGGAGCTGGTAGATTCAATCCCAAATCGAAATTACCGACACCAACATTTTGCTGGAAGATTTGATTTGACAGATCCGGTAATTGGAAATTAGGTACGTTTAATGGCGCACCGTAAGTAATCTTCGGCGGACCATAAACCGGTTTTGGTACACCATAAACCGGTTTGGATACACTATATACCGGTTTCGTAAAGGTGATCTTCGGCGGTTTAAATGGTGCGCCGTAATTCGGCTTTGGGATTGTAAATTTAGGTGGACCGTAGGTTTTCTTTGGTGGTCCATAAACTGGTTTTGGAGGACCGTAGATAGGCTTTGGTGGTCCGTACACTGGTTTCGGCTTCGGTGGGCCGTAGATAGGTTTCGGTTTTTGGACGGGAGGCGGTGGACCTTCGTAGTGTTGGTTGGGGAAGACCACAGGCGATGGAGGTCCGTAGGCTCCAGGCGGCGTGTCGGGGAAGCCTTTGATGTCGGGCACTCCATAAATCGGTGCTGGTAGTTGAATATCTGGAACTGAGAACAACAGAGATTAATTCTTGAATAAACATCAGACTTATTCAGCAGCTTTAGTTTTAATAGAGGAATTTTAAACTTGATAGATTTCAAATCTTCTTGTATGTCAGTTTAACTATACTGAAATATTATAGTGATCATCATCATCAACATCATCTTCCCTACCTTATCGTACTTCCGTAGTGTCGGCGCACCGGGTTTTCCTCCAAATAATTCTATCATCCGTCATTTCAGTCATCACTCCCCTTTTGATCATGTCACCTTACAGGCATGTCATCCATCTCTTTCTAGGTCGACCTCTACCGGTGTACCCTTCCACTGAAATATTACAGTGTTACTTACTAATATTTAAGTCCAGCGGTGGTCCATACGCGTTAGCTGGTAGTGGTTCGCCGTACGAATTTGAAAGCGCAGCATCACGCTTCTGAGCTTGGGCACCTGAAAATAATTAAACAAGATATTTAAGTATGCTTTGAGAAAATAAAATAGTAATGTACAGCGGGGTAACTATACTTTATTCCCTCTATAATTACAAATATTCCAGACCTGATTCTGATGCTTCGGCGACCAGATCCTGTTCGATGTCTTTGCTGACGAGACCGGGTGGTGAGTCTTCTGCTAGCGCGACGCTTAGCAAAAGTAGAAGGAACTGCAAGACATAATTTTAGACAATCAGTATTTGAATGGTTTTGAATTAACAAATTGGTAATTTTTTTTCTTATAGATCTGTAAACTGCTGCTAACTTAAACTAAAAGGGGTAATAAATCGATCTTGAGTCATCTTTTATTATCTGTGACAATATCAATTACCATAGTTAATCCATTTGGTATTAATTTAAGAAAACAAATGTCAATCTCAAGGATTGAATTTTGATAATTTCTGTATTCTTAAAAGTTATTTGTTAATCTGTGCTATATATCAATACTATTTCTCTTTATTTAAAACAACAATATTGTTAGGAAACGGAAGGAATAGTTGGGATCATTTTTAAATGACTTAGCAAGGAGTGACTCAGGCCCTCAGTCGCTAACACTCTCAGTATTTTTCTAGTCGTCACCACGTAACTTACGACATCTTTATGTAGTTGCCTCGGAGTTGAGTTTGTTTTTTTAATATTAATTGTTGTTAATATAATAATAATAATATAATAATAGTATTGTTTTCAAGAAGTAACTAAGCAATATATTTTTAAGGCCAGCATCACATCCGTAGTTCCTTTGGTAAAAAAACTATAAAAGCTAGTTATAGCTCTTTGTGTGCGGATCACTTGCGAAGCTTAGCTAATTGCAACCAGCGACGCCGACGTACTCACGCCTGTTCTACGTACAATGAAAGCTGACAAACTAGTTTATTGTTTAGTGATGTGCGTTGTATATCGATAGAGTGCTGATACGTTCGTTTCGAAATTTAAATGGTCCTGTAGATTTTTTCCGAGTGGAATTAATAACAAAAGTAGTTATGTGTTCTTTTTTTTATGTCATAAGATGGCAAACGTGCAAGCTGCCACCTGAATCCGCCAAAATGGCGAAGTGACCGTTGCCCATAGACATTCGCAATAGCGGATGCGTTGCCTACCCTTAATAGACAGAGGAGAAGATGCACATAAAGTGGATATTTCCCCTTTCTATGCGTCTCCTGCACCGTAAAATCTACGTTTCCTTACCATCCATATCATATAAGAAAAAGGGTGGGAAGGAAAAGGGACTAAAGTTGGGCCTCCGGCACCACATTCATCAGACGAAAGGCGGAATTTCTCCCACTTTACACTTGTCTTCTTTGTGGTCGTGGTATACCACCGGGCGAGCCGGCCCATTGATGCGAATTAAAGCGGGCTATACCACTGTCTTCTAAAATTTCCTCTACATCTATGCCAAATGTCATCTAAATCCGTTCAGTAGTTAAGGCTACAAAATCTAACAAACATCCATCTATTATTCGTGATACACTAAACATCGATAATTTATCGATAAGCACAGCACATCACTAGTGCGGACAGGTCGCAGCCTCTTTAACTTTTTCCTACATTCATTGTTTACTTTGTTAATAATTGCGGAAGCACACCACTAATCTAATTAGAAGAAAAAACCTGTCCTCTTAGACTGAGAATTGATACATCGGAAGTACAATAGTTGACTAAGTATGAAATGTGACACAGTAGGACATAGCAAATCTTACTAATTATATAAACTAGCTTTCGCCTGCGAATCCATCTGGGTAGAATCTATACTATTATAATAAAGCGTAAACACACACTTCTTTGTTGCCTAAGATGTCAGCAATTACACCATATTTTTGAATAATTCTTATTTTAATAAAAAGCCCTACACTTACGTTACGCTTTAGGCTATATATTTTCACGCCATTAAACTTAGGGGGTAAATATTTGGATAAAAACCCAAATGCGGGAAAGAGACCATAAGTTGCTGCCAACATCAAGAAAGCAAGGTTGCCATGCTTTGTGATTATGTCATGTCATTTTGACATTTGCAATTGATTATTTGACACATGTAAACAATAAAATAAAATATTCATAGTTTTATGCGGATGAAGTCGCATGGGAACAGCTAGTTAAAAAATGACAATCATCGAGATCCGTTCAGCAATTTGGACAACAAACATCCTAAACTATCGCATTTATAATATTAGTAAGATGAGAAAGTTTAGATGCACAGATGTTTGTCAGAAGGTATCTTGACGGTTGAAATAGAACATAGTCTACAGTACGTGGAAGAACATATTGGCTACTTTTTTTATTTCATTCCACGCGGAGTCGCGGGCAAAAGTTATATTATTAAGATGAAATAATGGTCTTCACTGCATCCTTAATAAAACTGTTATTTGTCCTAATTTTAATTTTAAAAACAAGAGAACTGACAAGAATAGTTTTTTTTCTACCTTACCCAATAAATATACGAAACTCTTGCAGTTGTCTGTGGGTAGAGGTCATATCTGTCATCATATCGCGTCTTCATGGAAATAAAATTACGTATTTTTCTATGTTATTTATCTACGATCAGTGAAACGGAACGTTATCGAGGTAAATGATCTTTGATATTGTTTTATGTGAGAATTTGTTTCATGAATTCTTCATCTTTCGCTTTCGTTCTATTTAACAAGATCATATGTATATCTAACTAAATAACTAATATTATAAATGCGAAAGTTTAGATAGATGGATGTTTGTTAGAGTTTGTAGCCTAAACAGCTGAATGGATCTCGATGAAATTTGGTATTTTTTTTTTATAATATGAGGTGGCAAACGAGCAAGCGGCCTCCACCGAAATGCAAAGCGACCGCTGCCCATGAACATCCGCAATTGCAGATGTGTTGCCTACCCTTAATTGACGGAGGAGGAGACGTCCATAAAGAGGACATTTTCCCTTCCTATGCGTCTCCTCTACCGCCAAATCCACATTTCCTTTCCATCCTTTCCTCTTAAGAAATAGTGGAAAGGGAAAGGGACTAAAATTAGGCCTCCAATAGGTATAGATGTAGAGGATAGTCTGGAAGAACACATAGACTACACACTTTTGTTTTTTTTTAATTCCACGCGGACGGAGTCGCGGGTGAAAGCTAATCTATACATATAATAAAACTAGCTGTTCCTGAGCGGGTTCATCCGCCTAAAATTATGAAAATCTCATTTTATTGTTTACATGTGTCATATTGTTATCAATAGCAAATGTCAAAATGACATGACATGACAAACCTTAGCAATCTTGCTTTCTTGTTGTTAACAGCAACTTATGGTCTCTTTCCCACATTAGGGTTTTTATCCAAAATATTTACCTCTAAGTTTACCGGCGTGAAAATATATAACCTAAAGCGTGACGTAATTGTACGGCTTTTTATTAAAAAAAGAATTATTCAAAATACTGTAATTGCTGACATCTTAGGCAACAAAGAAGTGTGTGTTTGTTTATTTTTGTCTGTCTGTCCGCAAGCCGCGTTTGTTCCGGGTGATCTCCGAAACGGCTCCGGACGGCCGGACTTTTACTGAAAGGTAGCTGACATATACGGGCATATAGGATACTGTTTAGCTTAACTGCGTGGACGAAGTCGCGGGCAATTCAATTATTATTCCATTTGAGATGCTTACATTCTTTTGTTTTTAAATCGAAAAGCTAAATGAAGTCATCGTAATTTACCAACATACTGACCGATATATAGACATTAAATAAAATAGACAGGGACAATAAAATATTTATGCTAAGATAGAAAACGTAAATATTTATCTGTGAGTCATGGTGTTGCCGGATGATCTAGGTTAGGTCTAAAGAGGACAACTATTAACACGTTCCTCTTATTATTCCGTTATCCTTATTTGAGCTTCGGTTCGGTAGCTAATTGTCATTCTTTAGCCTGGTGCTGGTTGATTGACTATAGGAACAAAAGAGATAACTAGTTAAATTGCTTTGTTTTATGACGCACGGAACGTCTCAGCATCTTCGAAGTAGTTGTTACATTTTTTTGACTCTCTAGTTGGGAGCACCTGACCTTGTTAGTGACACTGCCGTGTCTATACATTGCTATGTCTGCACCTCTTCGCAGTGAAAGTGATTCAGCCTTCTTCAGTCCGCGAAATGTGAGACGAAATCACTTTCACGCTGATTTCGGCACACGTTAACTGTTTATCAAATCACTAATAATGTAATACTATATTATTATAATAAAGCGTAAACACACACTTCTTTGTTGCCTAAGATGTCAGCAATTACACCATATTTTGAATAATTCTTTTTTAATAAAAAGCCTTACACTTACGTCACGCTTTAGACTATATATTTTCACACCATTAAACTTAAGGGGTAAATATTTTTGATAAAAACCCTAATGTGGGAAAGAAACAAGTTGCTGTCAACATCAAAAAAGCAAAGTTGCCATAGTTAGGTAATTGGTATTTTGACATTTGCAATTGATTATTTGACACATGTAAACTATAAAATAACATTTTCATAAGTTTATGCGGAATAGTCGCAGGGAACAGCTAGTACTATATTAAAAGTGCGCGCACAATTTGACTAAACTGTCGCACAACTGTTCAGTCTCGCTTTGATTCCTATGAGCTAGTATGGAGGTGCACTACTCGATTTTTAGTTGTGCAATAAAACAGGAATATAGTTTACGAGCTGTTGCCCGCGATTTCGTCCGCGTGGTATTAGAAAACATACGAACTATATAAATTACAAAAAGCTACGTATCCCGGGAATCGGACATTTCTCGGGGCTGAAGCTTATCCCATGTGTACTCCAGACTTTGTTTTATATCTGTGACAAATTTCATTTATGTTGAACCGTTGCAGAATGATCGAGTGAACATTAAAAAACTAAATTAATGAATCCCACGGGAACCGTAACTATTCCCGGGATAAAAAGTAACCTATGTGTTCTTCCAGACTATGCTCTAAACCTGTGCCAAATTTCATGGAGATCCGTTCAGCAGTTTAGGCTACAAACGCTAACAAACATCCATCTAAACTTTCGCATTTATAATATTAGTAAGAAGTAAGATTAGTAAGATATAGAAAATATTGACAATTTAGCTGTAACTTGTAGATTTGACACTCACCGCTCTCCAAGGGGGAAACTGAAATAAAAAATAAAGACATTAGTTACTAAAGATTGTAATTAAATACATTTTAATTATTTTAAACTAGCTGTTATCATACGTCTTCATCCGCATGAAATTATGAAAATTTTGTTTTATTGTTTACATTTGTCAAATTATCAATTACAAATGTCAAACTGACATGGAGACAAACCATGACAACCTTACTTCCTTGATGTTGGCAGCAACTTATGGTCTCTTTCCCACATTAGGTTTTTATCCAAAAGATTTACCCCCTAAGTTTAATTGCGTGAAATAGCCTAAAGCGGGAAGTAAGTGTGGGACTTCTTATTAAAAAAAATCTTGAAAAAAATGTTGTAATCGCTGTCATCTTAGGCAACAAAGAAGTGTGTGTCTACGCTTTATTATAAGCATACATACAGACAGCGAGAAGCGAGAAGCGACTTATTTATGTAGCGATAAGAGCAAGATATTGACATATCCAAGATCACTTTCTAACAAAGAATGTAGTTTTATCTGAATATACGGAGAGAAGTTTTAGTTGTCCACTTTTATGGCGTATAAAAAAATCGATAATTTAAAACAAACAATATTCGAGTTATTCGTTTGTTGATATGCTTATATTTATTTTTGAAGCAAACAGATAAATATAATAATGAAATAGACGTCTTGAATAAGTAAATATGGGACTATTGAAGAATCTTACTTATTACTAATAGTATAAATGCGAAAGTTTTGATGGATGGATGTTTGTTAGTGTTTGTAGCCTAAACAGCTGAATGGATCTCCATGAAATTTGGCACAGGTTTAGAACATAGTCTGGAAGAACACATAGGTTACTTTTTATCCCTGGAATAGTTACGGATCCCGTGGGATTCATTAATTTACTTTTTTAATGTTTACTCGATCATTCTGCAACGGTTTAACATATCTTATTGAAATTTAGCACAGCTCGTCTTGAATAAGTAAATATAGGATTATTGAAGAATAGTTCCATAAAACTTAATTATCTTATAGTCTGTCTAAATGAGAATAGTTTGACAATTCGCGTCAATTGATGTGACAATTTAGTAGGGATGGGTTGTGTAAAATCAGTCATGAATCTTATCGATTTTAGATTTTTATTCTGATAGAAGTTGGAATCGATAGAATCATAGTTATAACTTATGAATAAAAAAACAGTGTTTAGTCAAATTAATAATGATCTGCAGAACCATTACAAATAATGAGGGTAAATAAATATTTATTACTTCTACAGCCGTACGTAATCGAATTTGATTTCGCTATTATTTCTGTCATCGCTAAATTCTCTACACTATAATCAATACTAGAATTGTCCTCTAAATTAGTTAATAAGAAAATAATAATTTTAGTTAAGTTCGATAAACATTTAAACCGAATATCGATAGTTCATAATTGTTCGCTGCGTGTTTCGTCACGATACCTGTCTATTAAGTACGGCAATTCGATACTTCATATGCGTCATTTAACAAACTAATCTATTATTATATATATCTGGATGAAGGGTTTTTGCTCCAAAAATTGTCCACTTCAGAGATCAATTAAACATAACCTTGAAAGGCTAGGATTAGGCAACCCGGTTACATGTTTAAAAAATGTGCTCTTTACGTAATTTAGGTTTCATCTGGAAAGCTGATGAAGGAAGGTGATCACTAGTGTTGTATCTCTGACTATCTCTTATTTAGACAAACTATAGTAACTGAATTTTACAATTATTTTTATTAATTGCATGATTTTTTCTCAATTGACATTTGTCGATATCACGTGAAAGCTCATCTTGTAGGTGAAAGTCAGATGACCCGGCAAAGAATCGACAGTCGCAGACGCGACATTATGTAATTCTATGCCTATTTTATGGTGTTTTCTAATTCACATTAATAACTATGATAAGTTAAAAGCATTCTAAATAAACTTACATCAACAATATTTCTTTTATATTTATCACTATGTTTCGACAATATCTTTTTTTAAAAAGAACTTTACAAAAATAAATGTAATGAAAAAGTATAAAGTGAATTAAAATACATAAGTAATCAAATTTTTCAAATATGTTAATTCAAATAATACCTTTTGACTACACAATAGAACAATAAAATTAGATCAAACTGTTTGTAATAGGTTAAACAGATTATAATGAGGTTATTTACGTGGTTAATTATTCGTTTTTATTTATGTTTCAAGTACTTGAAGTAATAAAACAAGTTTCTACCTAACCTCATTCGACCAGTATCTGCGAGCCGTTTATTCTTTGTCGGCGAGTTTCCACTTGTGCTAACATGTAGAAAGTTGGTTGTCCGGTCAGAGAATTGTCAACAGAGCCTGAGGGTCGACGATAAATGGCTAATAGCCATAAGTAATGTCAAATAAATCAAATAAATTCTGGCTCTATTTTTTTTTTTATAATATAATGTGGCAAACGAGCAAGCGGCCACCTGAATCCGCCGAAATGGCAAAGCGATAGCAGTTCATAGACATACCCAATAGCGGATATGTTGGCTACTCTTAATCGACGGAGGAAACGCACATAAAGAGGATATTTCTCCTTCTTATGCGTCTCCTCTGACGTCAAATCCACGTTCTCTTTCTATCCTGTCATATTATAAGAAAAAGTGAGGGATGGAAAAGGGACTAAAGTCGGGCCTTCGGCACGCGGAATAGCTCTCATCAAGAATGTCTTCTGTGTGGTCGTGGTATTTCAGCGGGCGAACTGACCCATTCGTGCAGATGTTAAAGCGGGCTCTACCACTGCTAACATTATTTGAAGCCTCATGTATATATGGCGAAAGTCAAGAAGAGATAAAGTAACACATCATATAGCCTGTCCATTTATAGAGGTCAGTGTTATAGTGTTCTATTCTAGCATGTCATTTGTCACGTGGGCAGTGACGTCATCATTCCGTACGCAACTTTCGCTCGGACCGGTCGTGTTTTAATTACAATAAGCGATCGTTACAATTATAACATCCATCAAACCGACGCAGATGAAAACGTATTAATGCTTTCGTTTTACAATTTCATGGGCGATTGTAAATGTAACATGGTGAAATGTGCAATTTGAAAGTAATAACGTATTCATGAATATTCCGTTTCTTGTTGTTATACTTTTGTATTACATTGTCGATGTTTTAATTTAAAGAGTAAACAAAACAATGTTCCCGCCAAAATTAATTGTTTCTTAATTTATGACAAACGTCATATTTTTCTTAACAGGCAATAGTTGTGCACATTCTGCCAATATAATGAACATTTTTTGTTATTCATTTAGACTTTTTTACATTGGTAGTGCCCGCTTTAACATCTTAGCACTGCAGGGCCGGCACGTCCGGTGTAATACCTCGACCACACAGAAGACAGGCGTGAAATGGAAACAATTCCGTGTTTCGTCTGATGAATGTGGTGCCGGAGGCCTAATTTAAATCCCTTTCTCTTTACCGCTCTCTTCTTTTAAGGAGAGTACGGGAACTGGAAGTGGATTTGACGGAGGAGGAGATGCATAGGAAGGGCAAATATCCTCTTTATGTGCGTCTCCTCCTCTGTCGGATAAGGGTAGGCAACGCATCTGCAATTGCGGATGTCTGGGCAGCGGTCGCTTCGCCATTTTGGCGGATTCAGGTGGCCGCTTGCTCGTTTGCCATATTATATTATAAAAAAAAGACTTTAATAAACAATATAAATTACTAATTTTTGTCCGCGACTCCGTCCGCGTGAAATTAATAAAAATAAACGCCTATGTGTTTTTCCAGACTATTTCTTACATCTATCATTTTCATCGAAATCCGTTCAGTCGTTTAGGCTACAAACTTTAACCAACATCCATCCATCTAAACTTTAACATTTATTGCAGAAATAATATTAAATTCCAATGCGTAATTTCTTAAATTATACGGAATATTTCCGCATCTAACGAGGTTTATTACAATCATTTACCGTAACAAATCTAATCGGTTACGGTGAATTAATTCATCAAAATGTATAGATAAAGAATTAAATTACTGTCCCGCTTAAAATAAAATACAGCAAACTGTCAAAGAGTACGTATGATAAGACAATCGAAATTTTTTTTTTCAAATTAGATCTTATAGTGTCTAAATAATTTAGATTAGTTTGACAATTCACTTCAAATTTAGTAGGGATGGTTTGTGTAAAATCAGTCATGAATCTTATCGATTTTTGATTTTTATTCTTATAGAAGTTGTAATCGATAGGTTTATTGTTATAACTAATGAACTTAAAAAAACACTGTTTTCTCAAATGAATAATGACCATAACAATTAGTGCGAGGAAATAAATGTTTATTACTACTACAGCCGTACGTAATCGATTTGGATTTCGCTATTATTGTCATCGCTAAATTCTTTACACTATAATCAATACTAGAATTGTCCTCTAAATTAGTTAATAAGAAAATAATAATTTTCGTTAAGTTTGATAATTATTTAAACCGAATATCGATCACACTAATTTTATAAATGCGAAAGTTTAGATGGATGGATGTTTGTTAGAGTTTGTAGCCTAAACGGCTGAACGGATTTCGATAAAATTTGGTATTGTTGTAGAAGATAGTCTGTAAGAATAAGAACACATAGGCTATTCACTTTTGTTTTTTTCATAATTTCGTTCATAATTGTTCGCTGCGTGTTTCGTCACCATGACACCTGTCTATTAAGTACGGCATTTGCCTTCATACAAATTGAATTCGTCACTTCATATGCGTAACTTATCAAACTAATCTATCTTATTTAGACAAACTAAGTATAATAGGATACGTCCAATTTGACAGCAGTACAAAAACTTAGTGAGGTCATGCATTAATTTAATCCGATAGTTAAATATAAATACAGGATGTCATTAAGTTTGTAACTACAAATATCTAGCTTTCGCTCGCAACTTCGTTTGCGTAGAATTATTAAAAAAGCTAATGTGTTCTTCCAGACACCCTCTACATCTATACAAAATTTCATCAAAATCCGTTCAGCCGTTTTGCCTACAAACTCTAA